AAGTACTGCAACTATACCCAAATACTGCAGCTATACTCAATAGAATACAAATAGTACTTAATCGAACAATAGGAGAAAATATTTTGTTGAAGTCAATACCTGATTTCTGAGCATATCCTTTTACAACTAGTCGAGTTTTGTATCTTTTGATATTCTCGCTAGTGTCTTTTTTGAGTTTGTACACCCATCTACAACCAATGACCTTTCGATCCTCAAGTAGTTTGACTAATTCCTAAGTTTTGTTTTCCTTCAGAGCTTTCATTTCTTCCTCCGTAGCCATTTGCCACTAACAAACATTTGGATATTTGCATGCTTCCTATGTATCAGAGTGTATTAGATCTAATACTTCTCTACTTTTAGCTTTAGACTTGGGAAAACTAGCTCTATGGTGTTTCCCAAATAAACAATCTTCACAAAAATTCAAATCAATAGATTCTAAACCAAGAAGTAGATTTTGATTAAGAAGTACCTTTAGTCCTTGTTTGCTCATATAACTCAAACGTTTGTGCCAAATCATGATGGAATCGTTCACAACATTTGCAATCATGGCATCACCGACCATGGTATCTCCGATCAAGTGGCATAGCTTTCCTTGTAGTTTGCCTTTTGCAATTACCATATCTCCTTTATTGATCTTCAATTAGCCTTTTTCTCCAGAAAATTTGTAACTGTCAATCATCAAACTTTCCCAGAGACAGGAGACTTTTTCGTAATTCAAGAATATACCGTACACCAGAGATTGTACGAGTGATGCCATCAAACATAGTAATTCTGATGTTTCCAACTCCAACTATTTTACATGTGTTGTTGTTGCCCATGTAAACAATCCCACAATCGCACGATTGGTATGTATAGAACCAATCTCTACACGGCGTCATATGGAAAGAAGCACCAGAATCTAATATCCAATTATGTTTTTAAGTTTTCACATGAGTCAATAAACAGTACCTCACAATCTTCTGATGAATCACTTCCTTCTGCGATGTTTTCTTGGGAATTATTTGAAGTCGGATCTTTGTCAAAGTTGGACCGATCTTAATCTGCTTTGGGTTACCGACAATCTTTTCGAAGGTGGCCCTTCTTACCATAGTTCCAACACATGAGTCCTTTCTTGTTGCCTTTTGACTTGGATCCTGTTTGATTTCTATTAAAGTCATTTCTCTCATTCGATCTACCTCATACCATCATTGCATCACTTGAAGAATTCTCACCAACTTCTCTGAGATTCTTCCGTAAGCAACATAGAAATAGTAGATTCTAATGACAGATCTTTAGTATTTCTCAAATTCATTATCAAAATATCCCAAAAGTCCAGCATAGAGCAAAGCAAAAGAGCAAACTTTTCTTCGTCATCAATACGTACCTCATAGAGACTCTGCAACTTGTCCCTTGAACCTTTGGTAGTGGTTTCCTCAGACACGTTGAATAGAACCAAATCTTCTAAAGCAAGAAGAATATCAGTCGTGACTATCTAGTTTTTCTTTTCAAAATTTTCGTCTTTCATATCAGCAGGCTTATTCTCTTTTCCTTCTAAGACAATTGTACAATCTTCTTTAACGAACACAGCATGCATCTTTAGCTTCCAAATTGCATAGTTGGATCCGTTGAATTTCGGTATGTCGAATCGGGTAAAGTTCGAACTTGCCATATTCAACAAGTGCAATACTAGAATAGCAAATACAGATTTTGATAGAATCCCGGAATAGAACAATGAAGCTCTGATATCAATTGTTAGAATGACATGGCGAAAAATATAATTTGTATGTGCACAGAAAGAAACAAAGCAGATAGCAAGAAACCGAAAGAAAGAAAGAAAGAAGAGAGAACACCGGATTTAATGTGGTTTGGCTAAATTGCCTACATCCACGACAGTAGCTCAAAGCTTTCCTTCTCACTACAAACAGGAAAAAATATAAAAATGACCTCACCAGAATCTAGCCCGTATCCAATACCCAATACACCCAACACTACACTCCTCTCAACACATTGTATATAGTATACAATGAAATGAAATGGAATGAAAATAACAGAGGGGACCCCTATTTATATCTACAAAGAGGGGTATAATGGGTATTATGAAAAAGAGTCTTCATTGCTAAGAAAACCCAAATGGTGGACTCAATTGGTGTGCCACCGATTAATATGTGGTAGGCTTGTTCGGTGGGCCACCATTTCCTGATTCAGTAAGCCACCGACTGGCCCACCGATTCTACTTTTCAACAAAAAGTCATTCCATGTTGGACCCATTTCAGGATTCCAGGAATTGATTTACAAGGTATTGGGTTTGAATGTGTTAGCATGGGCGAAAATGGGAGGGTGAATTTAGTAACTATTGAGGTTCCAAATTGAATTACGATTGGGTCTTCGATAGCCATGGGCTGGTTTCTTATACAGCAGTCAAGTGGGTTTTGCCATCTAAGTTCGTGATTGGGGGATTAGGATTTAGTCTTTAGTATTGTGACCAAAGGACACACTGTGGGTGTCCTTGTCTTTCTTCCAATTACTATAGTTTTGGGGTTGAACAGATCCATTGCTGGAAGCAACATGTTAATAATCAACAGAAGGGTCGTGTTTACCACACTTCCAAGTCTCTTTGATGGTGATAGGGGAAAAATGAAGTTGGTGTCACCCTTGATCTTGGCATTGTCATAGATGAAGAGGAACCACTCGAGGAGGTGGTTGATGAAAAACCATTGATAAGGAAACTGCTATCCAAGAAAGTTGTGGAGCTAGGGATTTTGATTGGTGTTGAGGCTGTTGATTTTGTTGCCTCTAGTGGAGATAGTGGGGAGCAAGAGGGGAGGCGTAAAGCTATTGTGGAGGACACATCTCCATAAATGAAAACAAAGAGGAAGACGATTGCGGCTACAATTGACAAGCAATCAAAGGAAAGTTATGAACGAGGATGGTTCCATTGTTGTGTTCTCAGTTTAAGAGTAACCAATGGAGCAGTTCCCGTGGCAGTCCTCCTTTGTTCAACAATCGACATTCAGTTCCCGTGGGTGCGTCAAACATGATGATGTGCGAAGGACACTCCATGCTCTAATTTTTCTAGTAAAGCTTGCATCTTCTTGAGTGTTGGACTGCAGGGTTGGCGACTATCATTACGGAAGGAAGAAGCCCCGACTTTGAGCTTCTTGAGATCACAAAGCTCGTCCTTGAGCCACTTGATGTCTATAAACGTGATGTTTTGTTGTTGTTTTCTGCCCCGGTCTAGATTCCCTCCTATCTCTATGCATTAGGGTGTGAAAGAATGCTACCACCTCTAGAACTCGTCGAATCTTTGTAGCTACTATTTTCAGTCCCTTCAGTAGTAATAGTGGCAGTGGTGGTGAGGGGGAAGAAGAAAGAAGAGGGAGTGAGAAAGACAAGTTGAGGATGAAAGGGGAAAGAGACAAGTGGAGGGCAAATTTAATATTTCATTTTTTCCATTAATATTTAACGACAACGTCAATTGTAGAAAACTCAATTACACTTTAAGACAATATGTAAATAGTAATGGTAGAGTTAGTCAATTAACTAAACCATAAGGGTAGTTTAAGATATTTTCCTAAAATAAATTAGGAAAAGATAATTTGGGTATTTAGGGAAAAATAAAGGGTTAGATAAGAATCTTTTTCAAAATTAACTGAAAGAATATTAACGGAAAGAGTCTTTAGCCCCGTTCACTTTTCGGTAAGTTACTTACCCAGGTAAATGTAGTTATTTGGGTAAGTTTTTCCTAGGAAACACTTACCTGGGTAAGTACATTTACCCATGTTCTTTTATTTCCCGATTAATAAGGCAATGACCATTTTAACCATAAAAATTCATTATTAAAAGGGGCATTTTTGTTCCATTCAAGTGTTGGCAACTTTCCCCCTATGTGGGAAAGTTATTTATCCATCTAGGAGATGGGTATCACTTTTCTCGGTAAGTAGTACCTAGGAAAATAAACTTTCATTGATCCCCACATAAAGCTGAAAAAGACACATGGGATTCTTAGTCAATGGGAATCAAAATCCCATTGACCAACTTTTCCCCCTCTCAAAATCCAAAAAAAAAGAACTCCCCCTTTGTGTAATAGCTAAAGTTCAGGGAGTCTTTGTCACACATTAAAATATAGGGGGGGTTTTATCACTAATCCTATAGTACAGGGGGTCCTTATAGTTTACTCTTATTTTTATCGAAAAAGTACGAACAGGCCCGATGCAGATTTATGATTTTCACTATAGAGCTATAAACATTCAAAATGGCAATAATCATGCTCTATGCACCAACACCCGCCCATGAATTGGCATCAACTCCAAGTTGGCACTTACCCCAACAATACTTTGAGCCTACAAATTTTGACCCTGGGCTGAATTGTCATTCTCCCTATTTTTATTCATTGCCTGACGGATCTATTAAGGACTTTTCTAGGCATTTCCATCATATTTTGAGTTTTTGACTTACTTTTAAAAAAGGGAAAAATCTATGATGCGGAAAAGATATAATATAGAAAGAGTTTTGACCAATCAAAATCCACCCATGAATTTTGATAAATGACAATTGATTGGCTATCATATTTATGATTCCAATTGACTGGTTAGAAGTTTTTCAAATATCATATCTTTTCCATATCATAGTCAAACCCTTAAAAAAGACAAATACGTGGAATGTGGAATATGTGAGACACGTTTAAACTCTTGCACAATACCTTACGAGAAACGGCCAGTTGGGGCATGTTTGGTCGTTCTGAAGATCAACAAAATGGGTTTATAAAAAATGCTAAACTATTTGTAGTTTTATACAGTAATGGACTGATGACCATGCTCCATGGGGCCCACAGGCTGCTTATTGCTGCGCGTACTACGCCATTAGCGTATTTTAGCAGGAAAGATTCTCATTTCAATTTTCAAGCATGTTTACTTTTCTCCTCCGGTACATATCTTTGCTCACCCCCGGCATCTGAATATAATCTGATCAGAGCTCTCCGTCATTCTTCTTCCTCGAAAATGGCCATGATTGCGACGGTAATTACGAAACTGACACGAATATGTTCTTGTATCTTTTCTGGTTTTCATGGTGGTTGAATTCACGAACAGAGATGCAATTGGATTCATTGCTTTTACAGCAGACCAGCCTCTCAGGGTCTTCCCAGAGTCCCAGATCCCCTTCTACACAGCCCTTCTTATCAGTTTCTGTAACTGACCCTGCGAAATTGGGGAATGGCGTCCAATCTTACATCTCCTACCGAGTCATCACCAGGGTAATTCGTAATTTCGAGGATTATGTTTCATTCTTTCATCTTCTGCTTCATTATTTAATCTAGACTTCTATTCTAGGGCCTGTGGATTCAAAATCCAATTATGCCGTGTTCTTCGATTATCGCGTTCTGAACAAGTACTGGTGTTTGACGAAAACATGATTCTCTATAAGACTAGCAAAACATGAGCGATTAGCCTGAACTTGTGTTTGCTATAGAATTTCTTTTAGAGAATTTGGAGATTTAAAGTCGAGATAAAAGAGCCTGAAGTTTGAAATTAAGAAAGTGAAGAAGAGAATTATCAGGTTGACAAGAGGCGTAATCTGAGCAGGGTTGGACCCTCAAAACAGCTGGTCCTATTCGATTGAATGAAACTTGGTTCTGGTGCATACATGTATCCTAGCAGTTAACTTGCTTGTTGGAGCTTGATGAATATCTATGAACTAGAAGGCGCATTAATATCAAGTACAATTGTATTGGTAGGTAAAATTCTACCATGCACTGTATCCAAGAATACGTGATTAATGTAGATAATCAAGCTCAATTCCCATATCAAGTGACTTAAATGGAAAATGGGAAAGTTGGTAAATTACTTCACTATTTGCTTCTTTGATATGTCTTCACCTTTTGACCCTTCCAGCGGACTCTTCACTTTCTGTTGGAGTTTAAGATAGCTTTTTTTCCCCCTTTGAAAAGCTAGGAAATACAGTAGATAATGGGAATGAATGATATGTTCTACTGGATACCCTATGGGTAATTTGGGAGGAAAATAAGTGCAGGATCTTTTTAGACTAGACCACGCCCTTCAGGTTATTATTGCTATTGGAGTCACACGTTGAGTCAAGGTATTTGACATATTCCAAGGGATTTTGGTTTATTCAAATTTGACATTGGTTTCTTTTTGTCTGGGTCTATATCATATTCTTAAGATCAGTTCATCTTGCTTCATTGTAGTTGAATACTGTTTAACCTAATCTAGTTGATTAGTATCAGTCTTACACTTGGTAGGGTTCAATTAGATAGTAGCTTCTAGAGTTATTGTTCGATATGAGGTCAGCTCCCCCTATTTAGTGGAAATTTTTTGGCCATTAGCAATTTATTTTACCATTTCCATTTTGGGTTAGTCTAGTCATAGGAGGTAAATATCTTAGTTGTCTTTCTTTTTTGAAAAATTCTTTAGAGAGTTATTACGTTTGTATTTCCTTTTTTTAGGTCCTTGAAGAGGTCAGAAAAGGGGAAGCATTAGAGGGAGATGTTCTTCTTGGATTTAATTTGATTAAACCTGACAGAATTTACAAGTGGTATCTTCCCTATCATGTTGTGCATGCATTGAAGTTTTGGATGACTTGCTGCTTTATGGATTGCTTGTTTATTCAATGGATCCTCTTGCTTGTTGTTATTTATTGAGTGGGAGATAGCCATTGAAGCAGTTGCTTTGATTAACCCTTAGCTCAGTAATCCAGGTATTTACTTGACGGTGTGCCATTATTTGAAAGTTCTGAACCTTAAATTGGCTCACTAATTGTTTTGTATTCTGATGTATGATTAATTTCCCCTGCAAAATCTTTGAAATGATTAATTTCTCCTGCAACATCATATAAGTTTGTTCATCTTGGTGGGTGCATACCCATCATAGAGATTAGGATATGCCCCTACTTCCCTACATATGGTGAAGGTCAAGCCTCCCACTACTAAATGGGGATGGTTATGGGGGAAAATTGTCTACAGAGTTTTCTATCAGTTAATTGACCTAAAGCATATAGAAACAACCACACCTTTAGTTGTAATAAATTCCATGAAGGTTCATGCTTTGATGATTTGATCCAGTGTTTTAAAAGGTGTACCTAGGCATGTGGTAAGTACACCTTGTGAAATGTTAACCAATGAAAATTAAGTAGACCATGTGACATCTTTAACATGATTGGTTACTTTTTGATTTATCGTGTAGTTTCTGCATCGTAGTTGGGCTCTTATTTAAATAAAATTTTCAGTTTATTGTTCATCATATTTAGGTTATTGACCATTATTTATGCGTTAATTAATTAATTAACTTTGAATCCAAATTTGGTTTTCATTTTACACTTGTAGTGTAGTAGCGGTAAACTGTGTTTTATTAGTTACATACATGATGCTTGTGGTTTGAAATGAGATGAATCATTTGTCTATATGTTTATGTTTTTTGCATATGTATTTTAAATTTCTTGAAAGTTTTCAAGAAACAGAAATACACTTATGATTTATTATAACATACATGATCCAATTCAATTCAACCTTCTCTATGATTTTCTTACCAAAAAAATTCACTATGATTTCCAACATGCTTATTATTTTCGGAAAATTATAGAAATGATGCCTTTACACATGCAACTTGTATAACAAGATTCTTCATGCCTTTATAAAATAAGAAAGTAACATCTTTTGACTGAGTCCCTTCCAGATAGTTAGCACAGTTTAAATAGCATAATTCACATGGTTGTACTAATGGATTTTTTTTTTTCTGGAAATGTGAATAACATAAGTACCATTTCATGTATCTGATGTAGGAGATTATCATGTCATCAATGATATCATCTCTGTAGTTGAGGATTTACCTTAAAGAAATTCTATTTCTCCTTTTATTTGTCATGTTTAGGGTCTTCTAGCTTCTATTCTCAGACATTAATTATGCAGTATGATTGAAGTTATGTAGTTTATCATTTTAAGCATTTGAGGTTATATTTTATGGCAGACAAATTTGCCTGAATATCAAGGTCCAGAGAAGATTGTCATCCGGCGTTACAGTGATTTTATATGGTTGCATGACCGGCTTTTTGAGAAATATAAGGGCATATTTATTCCTCCTCTTCCAGAGAAAAATGCTGTAGGTAATAACATGATCTTTTCTTTACCAAAACAGTGTTTTAGTCCTTTTATGTACTAAAGTTTTTTTTTCTCTATTTTCTTTTCAACAGTTGTCAACATAGTTGTGGTGCTGGGTTCTTCAGAAATTGTATAATATTTTTATACCTTTGATTAATGTGCTTATTTAATGATATATTAGTGTTGGTTGAAATATTTTGAATTTCTTGTGATCAATAACTAATATAGTTTATTTATATTAAGTAGGACAACAACAGAACAAGTAAATCACAGCTCCAAATGGGAAACAGGTCAGGAACTTAGTAATAGATGTCAAGAGCTTAAACTATATAGCATAGGATGAAGAAAAGAAACTCAAGACAACAATGTCTTGATTTAAGGATGTTAGATTAACATCAATTCTATCTATTGGATGATTTTTATGTGTTGAAGCATCTTCTAAAGTGTCACAGTGATCAACATTTTCAAACCATCATTAACCCATATGCATATGGTCAAGTCAGTTAACCAGTGACCTGGACAGCTGACTGGTCCCTGTTTTTTGACAATTTTTACTGTTAACTAACGAATTTCCCAGTTGATCTTCTAAATTGTTTTACTTGTTACTGACAGCAGCCACTTTGTTCAAAAAGAAAATGCCAAGGTTAGGTCTTTATCCATTCCATCCTTCCTAAGACCCTAGATAGTTGGGACCAACATTGGGTAGTGACCTTTTATTTGTTTTACTTTTTGATGTCTCTGGAGCAGTAGAGCTGGCATTTTTCAAGTTTAGGTTTATTTTGGAAAGGTTTCATTTATCCTTTCTTTCCTTGTTTTGCCGATTTTTGTCAATCTCATGGTCAATTCCCAACGAACTGGGGTTCCTTAGTAAACTGTCAAAAAACGTACAAAGAAATTGGAATTAGTGGTTCTACACTGTGTTCATGAAACCATCCTCCATTGCTTGATTTCCCAGTACTGTTTCAAGAATAAATTGTTTCAAGGCCTATAGATCAAAGATACTCATCAAGGGAAGAACTGCTGGCATTGCATCAAGGTTTAAAGCTGGAAAATTCTCTAAGTTTTAAGGATATCTTGGTGGAAGTTGACTCACATATAGTTGTAGGCCATCTGCTAAAAACAACCAAGGCCTGTGGGCAGTTCAGACACATTTTGTGGGAAGTAAGCAAGCTGGTGCTGGAACTAAGGGCACACTTCCAACGGACACCAAGAGAGTCAAACTTTTTGGAAGATGATATAGCCAAACAAGGGGTTAATAGGATTCAACTGTATTGGGGTGGTGACCAATTTGGAATCCGTTATATATGTTTGTATAAATAAAAAGAAAGGGTGTAAATGGGAATGGTAGACAGGACCGCCTAGGGATGTTTGAGATACCTGTAACTCATTCCTTGTAAATACCAGACATTCTTTGTTGAAATTAATAAAGATGGCACTTATCTATCATATAAAAAATCATATTGGACACATGGGGTTAAGGAAAGACTGTTTCAACCTTTTTTGGTAAGAAAGAGAAATCATAAACTAGAGCAAAATTAAATACAAACAAATAAACAAAGTCGACCAAACTCCACATTATGACACTCACTAGTCACTACCAAAAGATGACACACCTGACAAATCCTTGCCTAATTCATCTAAGATCCAATCTGGTGGATAGGAATGCCAATCTCCTTGAGCCGTTTCTTTACCTGATCTCAAAACAGAAGTGTGAACTTAATATCTAAACCGACCAAAGAGTGAGTGAGGTCTTGGACCAAGAAGAAAGAGTCTTTTGGCCATTCAAAAAACATTTCTTGCAAGGCCAGAGATTATCTGAAAGCAATCTAATTCTAGGATCAGCTTTAAAACACCACATCTCTTTGCTAACAACATGCCTTCCACAGCGGCTATTACTTCTGCTTGAAAAGCCGATGACACTGATGATTTGCCACAAGAGAGCACTACAAAGGATCACGACGTATGATGACAGCACTGAAAGACAAGATGCTATCTCCCAAAATAAAATCAATGTTTAATTTAAACCAGCCTTGGTCTGGGGGGAGGGGGTCCAACTCCTGTTGAAATTATTTGCAGCTTGAGGTCTGGGTTTCCCCAGAGAACCCAACCTCAAATTAAAAACCATCACTCGGTCCTGAGTCAACCTGTTTAATCACTCTAGCAAGCAACAAACTATGGAAATAAGGTACTGCAATTTCACAGCAGATGGCGTTGGGATTTATTATGTATGTTCTTGGTCTTGCTATTGCAGTAGTGATGGTTTTCTTGTCAGGCTAGGATATGATATTTTCAACTCTTTATGTACTATTTTTTAATCTTTCTATTCTTTATCTCTCTTTTTATCATTCTTAATGAAAACTGTCTATTATCAATGAAAAAAATAATCCTATCTTAAATTTCTCTCCTTTTATCCACATATAAAACTGTGTACTGGTTGGATGTGCCATTAATTGCAGTTGGAATGCTTTTGAAGCACTTGATATATTCTGTTCCACTAATTATTGACTTTGATTTCCTTGATATGCAGAGAAATTCCGCTTCAGTGCTGAGTTCATTGAGATGAGGCGTCAAGCACTGGATATATTTGTGAACCGGATTGCTTTGCATCCACAGCTCCAGCAAAGTGAGGATTTGAAGACCTTCTTGCAAGTAGATGAAGAGGTGAAGTGTCAGTGCTGTATGCCTTAAGTAGGAAAACCTTGTTCAACTTCCCATTATGTTGGGAAGCATAAAAAATTATAATTGTCAGAATATCCTTTTAAAAAGGAACCCAATTGGTGCAGTACAAGTGGGTCTTAAACATTTGGGCCATATTCCCATGGCAATAGGGTTTTCTTACTGTTTATGGCCCAAAATTTTAGTGAGTTCTATTCTTGTAGTCTCACTATCCACAACCCAGGATTGAAGTATATTTATTCATCAATACAGTACATTACTTTTCTAACAGAAAAAAAATGGTCCACCACAAGAAGCCAATAGTGGAACAATTTAAGAGAGAATATTCTAGGAAGATGCAAGGAAGATATTGTTTCTTGTCTCTCTATAAAAGAGTTGTATTCTATTTATTTTTAAATTTAGTGGAGAATGATGTTCTTAACGAATTTTGTTTTTCTAAAATTCTTGGAATTTGTGCATTGAGAATGATTCTTGTGGAAGTGGAAACTCCAGTAATCTCATGCCTATGCATGTGCATATTTCTCTCTCTTTCTTGTATCTCATTTCTGTAAAATTCATCAAGGTGCTGCATAAACCCTTTCCTCAGGAATCATCATCATCATCATCCAAGCCTTATCCCAACTACATGGGGTCGGCTACATGAACCCTTTTTCACTAACCCGTTCCATTTCAAACCATATTCACTGTTAAATTATTAGTGCTTAAATCATTTCTTACTACTACCCATGTCCTCGTTGGTCTACTCCTAGCTCTTCTAGCCCCCTCCAGTTGTAACAAATCACTTATAACCAGAAATGTTGGTGGTCTTTTATGCACGTGACGAAACCATCTTAGCCTACTCTCTCTCTCTCTCTCTCTCTCATTTTATCACTTATTGGAACTACTACTAGGTTTCTATGGATGGCTTCATTCCTACTCCTATCCTTTCTAGTTTTTCCACTCATCCATCTTAGAATTCGCATTTCTGCTACACTCATCTTCTGAACATATTGTTTATTGACTGCCCAACACTCTGCTCTATACAACATAGCTGGGCCTTACAACTGTTTTATAGAATTTTCCTTTTAATCTAGGTAGTATCCTCCTATCACACAAAGGTCCAGATGCACCCCTCCATTTTTGCCCTTACGCAGGAAGCATGTTGCACCATAATTTCATTGGAAAATCATCCTTTTACATATTACCTAACCTTTACTGGACTATAATATGCATAATTTGATTCTGGTATTTATCTTCATGTGCAGACAATGGAGAGAGCCAGATCGCAAGAGACTGGTATATTTAAAAAGAAACCAGCTGATTTTATGCAAATTTTCAAGGTAGGTTGTGTTTGGTATTTAGGAAAGACACTTATTTTTTGACAAGTAAAAGGAAAATTTTACTAAAGAAACAAAAACTGGATACAACCAAATAAATAGCTGTTAGGATAATACCCCAGAAGGACTCCCACCCAAACTGAGACAAAAACTCATAACACCCCAAAAATTTCCACTAATACATCAAAAGCAAATTTGCACTAATACATCAAAAGCAAATTTGCACTAATGAAGCTCAGTTAATCTTCAGTTTCTCCAAACTCTTCATGACCTCCTTCCTCCTCCCAAATTTCTCCTCCAAGTGCACCAGCAGCTTTCCTCAAACTTTCTTCCTTCCTCTTCCTTTCAAAGGCTTCAAAGGTTTCCCAGCAAAACTCTCCCCTCCCAAAAAGAATTAAGCCCAGGGACTTGCCAATTTCCACCTCTCTATCAAATAACCTCTTCAAATCCACACTTCCTTTCCTATTCTCCTCCTCTTGCACCATATTGGCAGAAATCTCAAGGCTTTTATTTTCATCCAAGCTAACCTTCTTCAGTTCATCATCTTTGGAGTTTTCCGGATGAAACTCGTTCCCACCTCCAACCTGCAGAGATCGCTTCTCCACTTGGGGGTTCTCATAACAAATATTTCTAGGTTTTGCTTCTCTTCTTTCATATATTCTTTTGTATTTGTTGGTCAGCCCTGCTCTTACCTAACCATCTTTCAGTCTCGAAAAAACCTTTGTAACATGTACTATGTTAGACTTACTTGAAGCTCTGGTTTTTTTTTTTGGAACCCCCGAAACATCTCTATTTAGCTCAATCATTCTCCTTCCTCCTATTACCCAAATCAACACCCAGTCTTCCAATGACCACTTCAGAAGTTGAAGAACCAGAGCCGTTCCCCATCTTAACATCATGAAGCAGATTTTTGACAGGGCTTACCTTTTTACCTTCTTCTCCTTCTATGTTGTCTCCCTCTTCCTTGTTCCCTTCCCCTTCCCTATTCTTAATCTCTCTGTTTGCCACCTCTTCCACTGCCTCCCCCCTAGTTCCATTCTCCTCCCCAACTCCCAACTCCAAATCCATTGAACTGCCCCCATTTAGAACTGTATCGAAGACCCTATTCTCCTGGCATAACTCCGAAGGAGCAGAAGAGATCATACCTGGCTCACCACTGACAGAGTCAAAAGAGCTGCACGTATTCAACTTGGCAAGGGGAAAGTTCACAGGTCAGATCATTGAAACAAGCTTTTGGTGATTGGGAACTTTTAACATAAAGGAAGGAAAGTAACAAACACATAAATATGTGGAGCATAGACCTACAAGGAATTTGAAATGAAATATTAATTAAGAATTTTTCTTTGGCTAATAATGTGCCTTGAAAAATCAAGAAGATAAAGAAACATGCTTAAATTGGTATTGGAAGAAACTGTCCTTGCATACATAGACCAAAAATTTTATGGTGATGTGCTTCAACCTCATTGACACCATCCAAGTAGAAGAGACCTAACACTTGAAGGAGTAGCTTTTTCAGCCAAATTTACCACTTGCACTGGACTTTATGATTCGTTTCTGAGGGGAACCTTGTCATATCCTGTCTACCTTGCTTGCTACCCTACTAAATGCAAATATGCAATACCTGAAGATTTCTTCAGGTATAAAATTACATCTCCAATTATTGTAAATTGTACACCCCTTTTTTATAATACCTTTCCAGCCATAGTGAGACTTCCCCTCTTCCATCATTATTGGGCCATCAATCACATGCTGTATATTTTAATTTCCTCCACTAAAAGGCTCTAGCTTTGACTATTAAGTTGCCTAATTGAAGTCTTTGAGGTCCAATTGGATGAAGATAATTCTTTTGGTAGGCAAGAAACAAGGTTCTATTTCATATACTGTAGAATGAGATGGCACTGACACATCATTTTCCCCTCCTGCCCTTAAACTTTTGACAGGATGTACAGTCTAAAGTAAGTGATGCTGTTCTTGGAAAGGAAAAACCAGTAGAAGAATCAAATCCTGAATATGAGAAACTTAAAAATTACATCTTTGAGCTTGAAGAGGACTTGGCTGAGGCACAGAAACATGCTTTTCGTCTAGTAAAGAGGCATAAAGGTACTAAGAATCTAACTAATGTTGGTGTCTTACTGAACCTTCTTCATCTGTTACAATTTATTGTTTTCTATTTTCCAATTTTTCCTTGTGGGTTTTCCTTCCCAGGTATCATACTGAAGTAACATATAAGATTTGCTCATCTTGTTGTGCTTAGAACTAGGGCAATCACTGTCGGACTTTGGGAAAGCAATCAAACTTTTGGGTGCATGTGAAGGAAATTCTCTTGGAAAGGCATTTTCTGAGCTTGGATCAAAGTCAGAAATGTTATCTATTAAGCTACAGAAGGAGGTAAGTTCACTTGTTCAACTTTTGGGGGTTCACATGATTCAGTAAATTGTTATTAATAATTAAGGCCATTACCTAATGTTGGTCCCAGTTATCCAGGATCTTGGGGTCGACTGTATATGGACCTTATGGCATTTTTGCACAAAATGTTTCTGCTCAGACTTGAACCCCATATTCTCACACTTGTCGGCCTAAGATTTAACCATTGTATCAAGCAATGGCCCCTAAACCATGTTTTCTAATTTCTAGGTTATTATAGTTTTTCTTGCATTCCCAAATCTACAAATGATGGTGTTACTGCCCTTGGACAATGATCTAGGCTCACAACCTGTTAATGAAGTTTGCGGAACCTTTAAAAGATTATGTTCGTGCAGTGCAGTCTATTAAGGTTGGTTGCTTCTCCTGTTTGAATTTTGAAACCATGCATCTACTATATTTGTGAAGTCAGTTTTTCCAGATCAGCTTAAAATTGTACTAACCAATTCAGCTGAAAAAATGGGACAAAATATTGAAAGCCAGCAAACCATGAAAAGGGGATAGCTCAAAATGATAAAAAATTCTATAAAATCCTGTGAGGGTTCTGTATTTGTGTTTGTGGTTTGTTGTGGAAGCTTACACTTTGCTCCCATTTTCTGAGTAGGCCACAATGGCAGAGAGAGCAACCGCCTTCAAGCATCAATATGAACTGGCTGAAACAATTAAACTGAAGGAGATAAACCTGTATGATTTCACATAGACCTCCCATGTTTTTTGTGTTTTTTGAAAATTGCACTGGACTTGTGTATTGAATCTGGGCATTGATAGGCAAATCAAAAGCTTCCTTTAACTACTACTATTATTGTTTCTGGAAACCCAAACTCTTGTGGTATGATATGCAAAATTGCAGGATTTACTGATATCTTTTTTCCTTACGTTCCTTAAAGGATGTTACCGTAGCTACGTACTTTACTACCATGAAATGATGAAATTCTCTGGTTCCTCTTTTGGTCTATTCTGATCTTCAATCTCTGCTACTGTCACTTAACTAGAAGTGATATTTTAGTAATTCTAATTGTTATTTGGAGTTTTTCTTTTTTCCTTTTTGATAACTGGAGATTTTGTATTTATTGTTTGTTTGCAGTGATAAGCTGATGCTAATACGATCAGATAAGGTTGGAGAGGCTGAGATTGAATATAGGGAGGTAAGTTATCAGGTTCAGGCAACATGTAATCCCCTGATGAACATGTAAAGATGTCTTGTTAGGTTAACGAATATTGGCTTTCTAATGCAGTTGAAGGTTGAAGGCGAGGAGGCAACAAAAAAATATGAGATGATTGTGCAGCTAATGAATGAAGAAATTGTACGTTTCCAAGAACAGAAAACATGGGACGTGGGCGTTGCCTTCCATGAACTTGCAAAGGGACAGGCGCAACTGGCAAATGAGATTGCGGATGCTTGGCGTAGTCTCCTCCCTAAGCTAGAAGCTTGTTCTTCCGCTCAAACATGAATATCCTGGGAAATTTCCTTCAAGACTCCCCCCAAAGGTCCCTCTTTCTTTGTAAAGGCAGGGTTCCATGAGTTTTTGTAAATCTTCTATGGGTTGTTGTAGAAATGCTGGTTATTGTTCTTTCTGTAACTTTTACCAATTTCAAACATAATAAAGCTTTTGGTCCTTCCATCTGTTCTACGCCTTAAATCGACATATATCCCTCTTATCATCATCTATGCGAAATACGATTTTATCAATACAGGCGACTGACTCTCTGTTAATGGCCTGGTGAGTTGGTATGAGAGACACACCACAAGTTAGTTCTAGTTAAATGATCAATTGATCATGACAAGAGGCTACTAGCTCTCTAAACGCCCTCCCCTGAGTTGAGCATTTTCCAACTAATCTAAATTCATGATTTAGCTAAAAGCCTAAAACTACTTTTTGGTGATAATTAGTCTGAATTACCCAACAGGAATAGGAGGTTCTGGGTGGGGATCATCCTAATCTCTTAACCTAAGGCTTGCCCACTGGGGACCCAAATCTTTTCTTTAATTGTTTTGATAAAAAAAAAAAGATTTAGTTAAAAGAAATAAATAATTTAAAAGGACAGATTTCTTAAAGTATAGAAATTGAAATTTGTAGAATATATGTAGTGCCATTACTGTAATTATATATTATTGCAGTAACTAATAAGGGTTGGGCCTTGGGGCAGAGTTGTCCCCAATCCCGGCAGAGCAGTCTCCATCCCTGACCCCATGTGTTGGGAGGCCCGGCATGGCGGTACCCACTACCCAGTAGAGATCAGAAAATTAAAATTGGGATCTATTCCTCACAGAATACGCCTCACAATGATCTCATAATCGCATCCCGTCCAGTATTGAAAATATCTCCCCATGAATAATAAATACAGAAGAGATGTTCCCAATGTGCAGCCAGGCTCTGTGTGAGGAGCAGATCTGGATTGGGAAAATTACGATGGCTGACCAGGGATAGGTCAGGGATCTGTTCACCGTCTCATCCGAATGAGCACTAATCTGCCTAAATTTTCAGGGCCAGTGTTGGGTTGTTGGCCTTGGAAAACACCCTTCTCCTTTTTTGTGTGTCCACTCCTGCAACCATGATGACAGATTACTGATGATTGATCATCATCTCAAGAAATAAAGGTACAAGAGTGGCAGCATGGCTAAGACTTTCAGCCCTCGTTTTTTCAAAAAAATATTATTCCTATTTTGCCCTGATCTCATTCATCTTTTGGACATGAAAACTGTTCGAGATGGTTTTGGTAATTTTTAGAAAAATAAATAAGGGTAAATTACACCAACATCCCCTGCTTTCAAAAACGCTCACTGATTTCTCTCATTTTTTGTGAAAATGTTTTTTCATTTTTTACCACTGTAAGAATATGGATTAGAGAGTTCAAGTTTAAGAAGGGTCATTTCAAAGTTCAAAGTATCAATACATATCCCTTGTATCGAACGTATTTTTTGCTCAATAATACATTATTTAATTTTTTCTAAATAATTAAATAACATAAAATGGGTTCTTGTGAAAACTAACCAGGAACTAGAATCCCTTTAGCCATCGGTTTCTGGGTCAGCAGTTCTACCATCCAATTCAAATGGACGGCCTGTTCCAATTTTAAAAGATAAAATTGAAAAAAATAAAAATAAAAATGACCAAAAACTGTTATCCTAGTTAAACAGATCCACAGTTCCACTGTTCAGGTCAGTAGATTGCTGACCAAGTTGATGATTTTTTGTGAAAGAACCAATTAGAGGTGACACAGAACCAGTTGTCTGAATGATTCCTACGCCAAAATGATCCGACTTTCTGGATCAAGGATGGTTTCATAACACTGATATCGATACACCCCTTTTGACATATCGGATGTATAGATACTTTCAACCGTGGCCCACTTAGCGATCATTGTTTTATTTGGTGGAGGAATAGTATTAGTCAACCTAAATTGGGTTGCATGAACAAAATTGGAAATGGGCAAATTTTTAACCAAATGGACTAAGGGATTTTCTTTTTTGAGTTTTTTTTTGTCAATGAAGGTAAAGTTAATATATTTCAGAAAATAGAGGTCAGCGAGTTTTTTGAAAACATAGGGGAAGTTAGTAAAGCTTACATTTTCAGCTGTCTCATTTCTCTGACCATATTGACATTACAACCGGAAGCGTATGCAATTTCTCTCTTTTTTTTAAATTTAAATCTCATTAATATCAATTTTAATTAAGTCTTAAAGTTTGAGACGTCACTAAATGCTAATATAATTTAATTAAATGCTCATTTAAGTTATCTTTGATTACAATATTTAACATGTCCTTAAATGTTATTTACGTGAAATAACTTATTAAAAATCGACAAACCAAAAATAACAAGTTTCAAACCCAAGTTATTTGAGTATAACAATAATTAATTAAGCATTATGCCAACCTTACTTGCTTATTAGAATGACATGTTTTTTATACTTAAAGTAATTTTTCTTGCCTTAGTGGATGTTTCCCAACGAATATATTTATTTATTAAAAATTAAGGTATATATTAACTTGTATACATAATAAATATTATCTAAATCTATATATAAATACACGTTTTAGTTCTTTTATTATTTTTTTAATGGTTACTAATTATACCCCGATACTTTATATAAATCATTAAAGAATGGTTTTTATGTTTAAATAAATTAATTATAGTCACATAAAACTCATTTTTATTATTGTTCATATTTTTAAGGATTTTCTTAACGTATCCATACTTTGAACCTTGTTTTCATTAATAAAATGCGATAACAATCCTAAGATGACAGAGGAGGTCAAAAGACTCAAAACCACTTTTCAGTAGAGACATTTTTGAATTTGTGTATTTTTTATTTTAATAATAAGGGTATTTTATTATTGTATATATTATATACAGGGTTCAGCCTTAGGTGGCATTTGATAAATATGAGGATCCGTTTGATTCACAATCGGAATCAGAATGATTTATTCCCTTCACCAGTGTGCATTAGACTGAAATCAAAATCTGAATTGGAATTGGTTAGAATAGATTCTCATTCCCAAAACCCTCAAATTCTTCATCCAGTTAACTATCCTAGAATCTCCTTCCACCACCACTAAGAAATGTTCAGAAACACGATGATCCTTGTACACGCCAGCAAGGTTTGAATTAGGGGTGTCAATTGGACTGGATTTGGTCCAATCTGATCCAGTCCAATGTGAGTCCATTATAAATGAACCAGGTCTAATCCAATCCAATGAATATTTTGGACCAATTTAGACCAGTCCAATTCAATGTTTGGACCATCCAGTCTGTTCAAATTTATTTTAACTTAAATTGGTTTCAACCCAAACCCAGTCCATTGGCACATATATTCTTATCTTATATCAATAGATCAGATATTGACTTAACCTAACCCAATTCAATATAATTTTTTTATGAACGGATCAGGTCCAATCCAATCTAATAAATATCCACTCCAATATGTCTTATTGATTCATCTAATCCGTTCAAATTGATCTTGAACTGAACGGTCCATTAACACACTTAGCCTGAATCTTTCTCCTCTCCATTATCCTGACCGTCCTCCGAATTGACTGATCCTCCCCCTCTATAAAAAGTCTTAATTCATAACTTTTTCCCAGCTCTATTTTATTGCTTTGAAGATAGTTTGGATCAAGGGTATACGAGCTAAATGAGCGAACGTAATATAAAGGGAATCAATTTGCTTGACCCTTGTCCGTGAGAACTCATGAAACTGTTAAATTACAGTGGCTGACTGAATTTCATTGCTGCCATGATGCCGGGAAAATCCCATAGCTGTCAGTGATTTAGTTTGGCCGGGTATACGAACAGAATTAATAGTAATCAATATTATGGTAAGATATACAAGACAGTTTGGCCGAGTGGTCTAAGGCGCCAGATTTAGGCTCTGGTCCGAAAGGGCATGGGTTCAAATCCCATAGCTGTCAGTGTTTAGTTTTTGTTTGGATGATTAATTACTTAAATAAAAGCTATTAAATTATTAATTGAATCTTATTTTGTTATCACTAACTCCAATTATATACAAAGGGGGTTCCACTATGATGTCAGAAAATTTTACAATCAAACAATCGGTATCATAAAAGTCAGATGGGCTTACAGCGAACTTCGTGGGGTTGGAGCGTGTTTTGTTGCTATTGATCCAGTTTCTTGGCCAAATCTTTTTTAGTATCATGTCTTTTCCAAAATCAGATAATTTTAAAGATATCATAGAATTTTTTTTTTTTTTACAGAAGTTATAATATAGAGAAGGCTTAAAAATTATTTTTGGATGGGGCTACACAACCAGGGGATCATCCCCAAACCCATAAAGCCTCCCAACCCTAGTGCAAATTGGATTTGATGGGTGTTTGGCGTCAATGCTGTTTTCTGAGAAAATGGCGCCATGTAGGTGCAACATCAGAAAAAGTGGTGCTTCAGAAAACAGCATCTTATTTGATACCGTTTTTCATAAAAAACGTTGCTTCATGTCATGCCTTGGGAACCGGACAAGTGTGGTCTGAAGTAATGTCAAATTTGACGTTTTCTCATAAAACAGCTTATTGCTGCCAACGGTGTAATAATGTGGTGTCAACGTGGCATCATCTTGGACGTTGGATAATAATATGACCAATGCTGAAAACGGTTCCACAACACTGGTACCAAACAAAATCAATGTTGTTTTCCCAAAAAACAGCCTATGTGGTAGCACTGCTTCTAAACAAAAAATAAGCATTGTTTTCGAGAAAATGGTGCATAAAACTCACACATGCCTAGTACCGTTTTTATGAGAAAACAGTGGTATTCCTAGCACCGATGCCAAACACCTATCTTATGTCTCTGCTACAACCAACAGGAGACCTTACCAACCAACCAACTGACACTTTGGCATAGGATGTTAAAACTAAATTAATAAAAATATATACTTACAATTTATTGTTGTTTACACAACAAGAAAGAAAGAAAAATAGAAAGAAAATTTTGAATATCTTAAAAATCCTTGTTACAAATATTGGTATAAATAAATCACCTTTCAAAAATTCATGAACACAATTTTTGAATTGATATGAATAAAATTTTCAAGTTTTATTGATATGATAAACTAATTTTCAAAAAAAATGAATTTATGAATAATTAATTACTAAAAATATGAAAAATTCAGTAAT